CATGTGCCCTGACCAGGAATTGAACTGGCAACCTTTCAGCACACAGGATGATGCCCAACTAACTGAGCCACTGTGACCAGGGCCTGTAATGTAGTCTTCATTTCAGTAATGTATTCTTCATTTTTGAGTGGTTCTTTTTTGTTTTTTAGTTCTGTTTTATGCTCCCTATCTCTGTTGAAGTTCTCACAAAGTTCATCTATTCTTCCCCTAAGTTCATTGAACATTGTTTTTTAAAAAAATCCTCACTCTAAGATATGTTTTTATTGCTTTTCAAGATAGGAAGGGAGAGAGAAACATCAATGTGAGAGAGAAACATTGATTGATTGCCTCCTGTATGTGCCCCAACTTGGGATTGAACCTACAACGTAGGTATGTGCCCTGACCAGGAATTGAACTTGCAGTCTTTTGGTGTATGGTATGACACTCAAACCAACTGAGCCACCAGCCTGGGCAGTGCCATTAATCTTCATATTTGTAAATGTAAAGATATATTTTACAGTTTTTCAGGTAGGATCAAGAGACTTTCAGCTTTACTTTATAACTTGTTTAAATTTCACAACTGTAGTGTATTCATGTGTTATCTATATACTTAGGAAATAGAAAAGAGAAATATAGAAGGCCGGAAAAGTAGAATTAGAATATCTTTAACCTAGTGCCTTATTGTGTTTTCTTGCTATCAAGTATTGACACACAGAAAACGTTAATGATATATAAAACTTATTTGATATATAACAACATACCTAGGAGACAGGGGAAGAAGTTCATTAATTTGCTGAACCCTAAAATTACAATACCAGTTCTAACAAATTTCACAAGCCAACTGGGGTCCTCTAAAGAGATCATTGGTCTCAACCTGGCTGTTCACTGAAATCATGTGGGTGCTTTAAAACTACTGATACCGAGGCTACATCTCAGCGATTCTGACTTAATTAATCTGGGTGTGGCCATGAGCATCAGGATCTTCTTATATGCTAAATATGTGGAGGATAATGTTATTCAAAGAATACAAGGAAAAGGATCTGGCTAGAACTGGCTTAAAATTCTGGACTACTACTCAGCCATAAGAAAAGATGAAATACTGCCATTTGCGACAACATGGATAGATTTTGAGAATATCATGCTAAATGAAACAAGTCATAGAAAAAGTTAAGAACCAAATGATTTCACTCATATGTGGGATATAAAACTGAAAGGAACAAATGAACAAATAAGACAAACAAACAAAGACTCATAGACACAGACAGCAGTGTGTGTGGTGGTCACCGGAGGAAAGGGTTGTGGGAAGCGAATTAAAGGGTAAAGGAGGTCGAATATATGGTGATGGTAGAATATTTGACTTTGCGTGGTGGGCACAAAATGCACAATTCAGATCATGTATCATAGAAATGTACACTTGAAACCTATATAATCTTGTTACCAATGTCACCCCTAAAAATTTATGCTAAGTGAAATAAGCCACTCAGAGAAAGATAAATATCACATGATCTCACTCATTTATGGAATATAATGAACAACATAAACTGATGAACAAAAACAGATCCAGAGACAGACAAGCATCGATCAGACTGTCAAACCTCAGAGGGAAGGTAGGGGAGGGTGGGGTATGGGGGAGAGGTCAACCAAAGGACTTATATGCGTACATATAAGCCTAACCAATGGACACAGACGACAACAGGGGGGTGAGGGCACGAGTGGGAGGGAATGGGGGTAACGGGATAAGGACACATATGTAATAACTTAATAAAAAAAAATCCCCTCCATCTAAAACAGGTTACTCAGTAGCTCCCTCCAGTGCTAGCCGTGGAGGATTGGCCTCAGGAGGAAACCAGGAAACATCCTGTTGAAAAGTTTCTGAGCCACTGTCACTGCCGAAGCTCCCTCAGAGGGATGAGGTCCAATCTCAGCTTTCTTAACGAGGCTCTGGGGAGCTCTTGCTGGCGAACCTCCAGGCTCCTTCACTTGGATGATAATTAACTACTCAAAGCATCTCTTACAGACCAATTGAATAGAACCCAGGGGCAAAAGTTTGGCTCCTCCGTGGGAATGGTTGGTTGGGAATTAAACCAGTTGTCTCTTAGCACATCAGATCAGTCTCAATGTAACCATGGCTACAACTGATCTCAACACAGCCCCTGGTCAGAGAAAGAGACCACCAAAGCACATTTATCACACCGTCTAGTCTGAGAAGCATGCTTTACCTTGAGAACAAAAGTGTCGATCTGTTCAGAAGGACATGGGCTCCTGTGGTTCAGAATTCTGAAGTGGGAGCCAGGAAGGGACTGTGGGGATGTGATGGCCGTCCTCGGTGATGTGCTCACACAGGTTAAAATGTAGCCTCAGGCAGCTCCCACTTCCCCCATGGTGTTTGGGGAGGCACTTCTGATTTAGAGGTAGTCAATTTTGAGTTTGAATTCTATTTACTACTTACCTTATGGTGACTTTGGGCAAATCAGTTCACCTCTTTGAACTTCATCATTAAAATTAGGTTATTAATTTCCATAAGTCAGAATTCTGGATGATTGATTTGTGCTAGTTGCCTTTCCATTACCATGATAACCTCATGTACATGTGTTGGCATCTTTAAATTTATTAAACAGCCCAATTATAAAATGGGCAGAGGACCTGAATACACACTTCTCCAAAGAGGACATACAGATGAACAAAAGACATATGTTCTCAACATCACTCATCATCAGAGATATGCAAATTAAAACCACTATGTGGTATCACCTCCCTGCCAGGATGGCTAGCATCAATAAATCAACAAACAAATGCTGGCAAGGATGTGGAGGAAAAGGAACCCTAGTACACTGCTGGTGGGAATGCAGACTGGTACAGCCATTATGGAAAACAGTGTGGAGTTTCCTCTAAAATTTGAAAATAGAACAGCTGTTTGACCCAGTGACCCCACTTCTAGGACTATATCCTAAGAAACCCAAAACATCAATTAGAAAGAATATATGCACCCCTATGTTCATAATTTACAATAGCTAAGATCTGGAAACAGCCAAGTGCCCATCAGTAGATGAGTGGATAAAAAAGCTGTTGTACATTTACACAATGGAATATTTTGCAGCTGTAAAAAAGAAGGCATTATTACCATTTGTGACAGCATGAATTGATCTGGAGATTATTATGCTTAGTGAAATAAGACAGTCAGAGAGAGAAAAAAAACATATGATCTCACTTATATGTGGAATCTAATGAACAAAATAAACTGATGAACAAAATAGAACCAGAGGCATGGAAACATGGAACAGATTGATGAATCTCAGAAGGGTAGGGGAAGGGAGAGTGGGAGATTCACCAAAGAATTTATATTCATACATGCATTGCCCATGGACACAGACAATAGGGTGGTGAAGGCCTTGGTTGGGGCGGGAACTGGGTAGAGGAGTGCAGTGGGGAAAAAGAAGGGGACATCTGAAATACTCTCAACAGTAAAGATAAAAAAGAAGTCAATATATATACCTCTGTACCCATGGGTTCTGTATCAGCAGATTTAAGCAACTGTGGATAGAAAATATTAAAAATAAATGTTACCTTATTGATGACATGGACTATGTAGGTAGGCTTACAATAGTTGTGTCTGTACTGAACTTGTACAGACATTTTTTTCTTGTCAGTCCCTAAACAATGCTAGTATAACAGTATAACAACATTTGCATAGCATTTACATTGCCTTAGGTATTATAAGTAATCTAGAGATGATTTAAAGTATAAAAGAGGATGTGCATAGGTTATATACAAATACTACATCATTTTATACAAGGGACTTGAGCATCCATGGATGTCGGTATTTTGGGGAGGTCCTGGAGGCAGTCCAGGGGACAGTAGTATATGCTGGCTCACCACGTGATGGAAATTATGAGAGGGCACTGTGGTCAGAAAACTCAGGAAAATGTGGATCTCACTCTAAGATTCAGTTGCACAAGGAAACTTGGCAAAGTGGAAGCAAAGCAGCACAGAATTTGAATGCAGAGAGTAAAAAAAAAAGCTAATTTTATAATTGAAGCTGAATGCAGATGGTTTATTTGGAGAAAATATTTGCAAATGCATATAGCAAACAAATGGTTAATATGTACTAGCACTTTCTGCTCCCATGGCCATAGTACACATTGTAATCAATCTTTATTCATCCTTCTTCATTCAGCCCAAAGGTAGGGAAAATATTTTTTCACTTCAGCATTTCAGGTAGTTCTTATTAAATTATCAGAGTAGGTATGGAAGTGAAAACTAATTTGCCATACATTCAACAAAGGAATGAAATTGGGCAATATATATTCACCCAGAATTTGTCTCACCCTAGGTTTGGCATGATTGAGGCAAAATCAAAGGAGTTTAAAGACTCCTTATACTATCATTTAAAATCTTTAAGATCATCTATTTATTCCTTATCTAAAATACCATGAAAGATTAATTTGTTTGACTTAGACATTTCCATCTATTAAGATAAAAATACCAGGAGAGTATGAGAGAGAGAGAATCACAATAAATGGTGGTTTTTCTTCACAACACAAAACAAAGCAATTCATCTGACTGTGTCACTATATAATTCATTCTCCAACTAAATTGAAGCTTGTTTTATATCAGGCATTCTCAACAAAGCTTCTTACTAGTAGTTTACATCATTTTCTTTACTCCAGTGGCCACAGGAAACATTTCTGATTACATGTAATAAATCGTCTATTCTTAAAAAAATGACAGAGGCAAGACACATGGAAACACAGGCATGTCTAGAGAGGAGAGCACACAGGCAAGTAGCCTCAGGAAGAATCAGGTGATGAATGTACGCTGAGCATGTGAAGGAGAGGAAGAGCCGAGACCAAAACATGTGTAGAAGCACAGAGCTGGCTCACTAGTGGTAAATTAGGTGCTTGATGTCAGTTGTTGGGGATCTAATGACCAGAACCCAGGATAGTCAGCTGTTGGGAGAATTTCAAGAAAGGGCATGATCAGGGAACAGACTCTACATTGGGCAGCTTCTAGTCTGATAGGAAGTTCACACACACATACACACACACACACACCCCTGGAAAAAATTCTAACAGTTTCAAATAGAATAGAGTGGTTATTTATGCATAAACATCTCTGCATGTATATACTTTCTGTATAGATATGTATAAAAATTTTCTGGATATTCAGTGACCAAACAGGCTGAATTTATAAGAATTTATAAGTAGAGAGAAATATGGAAATTTTCAAATAAATATGGAAGGAGTAAATAGAATGTGATTTTCTGGAATGGAGAGATATTATGGGGTAGGTCTGCAATCATAGCCCAGGTACTAAGACTGAGTAGAACTGTCCTGTCATGGCATGGCAGAGACCACAGGGTGCAGCTACAAAGATGAAAGAGTATTTCTCCACCAAAACTTGCCTCAGGTGCTGGTCTCGTGTGTGTGTGTGTGTGTGTGTGTGTGTGTGTGTGTGTGTGTGTGTGTGTACGTGTACACAAACACACCATACCTTGCAATTAGGGTCCATGAATTTTGTTGATTGTTGTAGTAGAAAGCCTGTCCATTTCAGACTTAATCTTGCTTATCAGTTTCTCTAAGCCCCGTTTCATGTCTTTGTTTCTTAAACTGTAGATAAATGGGTTCAACATTGATGTCAATACAGTGTATATGATTGTTGCTATTCGGTCCTTGACAGTATACTTTGACAATGGCTGGAAATAGACATAGCTAATACTCCCATAAAACAGAGTCACCACAGTGAGATGGGAGCTGCAGGTGGAGAAGGCTTTGTGCTTTCCAGCAGCTGAGGGAATATTAAGGACAGCAATGAAGATCCTTAGGTAAGAAATGACGATGCAGGCAAATGGGGCCATCACAGAAGCCAGCCCTTCTGTCATGGCTACGACTTCATTGACAGAGGTAGAAGAGCAGGCCAGTTTCAGAACAGGGTTGACATCACAAAAGAAGTGATGGATAACATTTGATGCACAAAAGGTGAGTCGATTCACCATGAGAACGTGTAGGAGAGAGTGGAGGCAGGAGAAAACTATGGAAAAGATCACTAGCAACATACAGCGTTTGTGGTTCATAACAGTGACGTAGTGGAAAGGGTTACAAATGGCCACATAGCGGTCAATGGCCATAGCTGCCAGGAGATAACTATCCATGTTTCCAAAGACCAGGAAGAAATACATCTGTGCCAGACATTCAGCGTAGAAAATGGTCTTTGTGTCTGATAGGAAGTTCACTAACATCTTGGGGACTATGACTGTCGTGTAGCAAATATCAGCAAAGGACAAGATGCTCAGGAAGAAATACATGGGGTTTTGGAGTTGCGAATCAGAGCGGATAACCAAGATGATGAGCAGATTTCCCAGCAAGGTGACCAGGTACATGATAAGAAAGAGGGCAAAGAGTGGCTTCTGGTCCTCAGGGCGAGAGGAGAGTCCTAAGAGGATGAATTCAGGAAGTCTTGTCAGGTTGCGCATTTCCATGGACTCATATGCACCTGAAGGTAAACAACACTGTCAATAAATGATTCTTGTCATCTTGTAATGTGTATTTTTACATCTTGTTTATTATACTGAGCTGTTATTAATAGAGCATGTACTCCAGTGTTTTTCTTCCTGAATATGGAAAAACCAGAGCTGAAAGTGTGTTTTAACTTGTTCTTTTAAAATCTTTGAGATAGAAATCTGAAGAAACAGACAGGAAGCAGGGGGAAAGAAAGAGAGAGAGACTAGGTTGGAGAGCTGGATTTTCTTTTCTGCCTCCTGACTCTGGGCTGATAAATCACAGGCCCCACAGATGCAGGCTTTGAATCAGGTTCAGGTCAGCTTTAGATTAAGGATTATCAGTGGCTAATCCATATCCAGCTAATCATGATAGCTATCTCACCTAGCTTGTGGTTGATGAATAACCATCATTTTAAGTCAAGATGCCTCTTTCCACATCATCTACAATGGAAACAAGAAAGCCATTTAAAGAACATTAAATTGAATATAAATAGTTACAGGGAAAAGAAAGATGGAGGGAGGGAAAGTGAGAGAAAGGGAGTGAACTTGTGTGAAAAATACTCTCCCAAATTTCCATACATTTTGGCTGATAATTTATATCCTGAGATCGGGGAACTGTGCCTCACAAGTAAACCAGGGCAAAGGCAGATTGAACTTTAGAGTATAGATGCAAAAGACATCCACATTTAGCATGAACATAAGTTAACTCTCTTATTTAGTGTCTCTCTGAGATAAAATATTCCCACTTCTCACCAGGCGTTCTCAAAGTTGATTTCTTACCTAGAAAGGACATTGAGCTCTTGTGTCATGTATTCTATTCATTCCCCTCCCGTCCTTTATGCTCCATGAAATGATTTGTCAAAAAGAAGACAAAACTCTGCCAAGAGACAGCATATAGAAAAGCTACCTGATAGCAATCTCTGAATGCTTCTTGAATCCAAATGTTCCCTTCCTTGGATTCTTACCATCCTTCATAGGTGTAGATACTCATAGGCTCTGCTTCTCTCATGGGAGTATCCTCTGAGACTGTCTCACTAAGTTTCTGATGTTTGATGAGGGAGAGAGTAAGAAAACAAACATCTATTAACTTAGTGCAAGGTTGTCTCCAAGGAGCCAGAGGACCTTACAAGTATTCTCCCTTTCCAGGTTGCCTACATGCCTCTCCTTGACTCTGGGTATAATGCAACATCTGTTTAGCCTGGAAGTAGGTGTTGGAAACAGACAATACTTTTCTGTCCCTAGCTCTTCCAACCTTTCTGGGGGCTTACCTGGGAGATGTCATCCCATGTAGCACTGAGGACAGAGTACCAGGCTCCAGTTTTTCCTTGAACTTATAAAGCGTTGATTAGACCTCCCCCTAGTGCCTCCATTTCTCTGAAGGACAACTACTTAGTGTAGCCCAGCATTGGGCACCTTCTGCTCCACTCCTCCCAAGTTCAGATACATTTGCTAGTTTAGTAGCTATGACTTTATGATGCTATCCTCCTACAAAAGAGAGTGTTGTAACTTTTGAACCTGGCCTCAGTTCTCCCTTCCCTTGTTAGCCAACCCTCATTCCTTCTATTACAACTAGGGAAAGCCACCTCTTTAGATAGTTTACTCTTTTTTAAAATATATATATTTTATTGATTTTTCACAGAGGGGAATGGAGAGAGATAGAGAGTTAGAAATATCGATGAGAGAGAAACATCGACCAGCTGCCTCCTGCACACCTTCTACTGGGGATGTGCCCGCAATCAAACCTGGGACCTTTCAGTCCGCAGACCGATGCTCTATCCTGAGCCAAACTGGTTAGGGCTAGATTGTTTACTCTTCTTAATTCATGAAAGCACACAGAATTCATGCATCAGGATCTCAACATGCCCTGCCAAATGCACATTGCCTATTCCTTGTCACTGATTTCTAATCACATCTTACAATTCAATCACTTCACTTTCTTATATTTCTCTCTTCACCTGGGTCTTCAAGCTCAAACACAACCTCTTACAAAAAGCATTCTTTAATGAACTAATGGAATGTCTTTTCTGCACCCTTAGTATGTGAATTGTCATTAAACACAAATCACATTCATTGTCACATAAGTTTTCACTTAAAGGAAGACAACTATCATGTCTTCAGTAATTTATAAACTTTTTTCATGCAATCCACACAACCACCTCATACCATGTGTACTTATTGTCTTCATTTTTATAGTGACTTAGAAAAACAGGGTAACTATTAAACATAACTTGAACCAAAGGCCATTTGAATCCAAACCATGTAGTTGAACCCCTCTGTTTTTCCCTAACAAAGTTAAAGTTTTATATTAAGGAACAGCTTTCAAATGACTAATGGAGCACAAATTTTGCCTTACTTTGCCAGATTAAACTTGACAGTCTGTACTTTTAGCATAAGGACTACTTTTCTTTGAAGCATTAATTCAAATGCAGGCATGATTCCAGAAACTATACTCTATATTTTGTATGATCCACCTCTCATATTTTATTGATAGCTGATATCTGAGAGACTAATATTTTCCCACATTTTAACATCTCTTATATGGGGTGAATTTAAATATATGGCAGCATTTAATTGGCAGCATTTTCTCCCACAATGGTACATTAAAATATATCTTATGCTCAACTTTACTAGCTATTTGGGAAGTGATAATCAAAACTAAAGATCAATCAAAGGACTTGTATGCATGCATATATGCATAACCAATGGACATAAGACACTGGGGGATGGGGGAGGCTAGGGGACTGTCTTGGGCGGTTCTATCTCTCTCCCTCTCCCTCCCTCTCTGAAATTAATAAAAATATATTTTAAAAAAACTATAATGAGATACCACCGCACACCTGTTAGAATGGCTGTTATCAACAGGACAAGTAATAACAAGTGTTGGAGGTTATGGAGAAAAAGGAACCCTCGTTCTCTGCTGGTGGGAATGTAAACTGGTAGAGCCACTATGAAAAGCAGTTTGGAGGCTCCTAAACAAATTAAGAATAGTTACCATATGTCCCAGAAACCCTTCTTCTGGGTATCTACCCAGAAAATTTGGAACATTTATTCAGAAAGATATATGCACCCTGTGTTCATTGCAGCATTTGTGGTACTTGTGAGAGGATAGATCTACAGATCACTGGGATATAATTGAGAGTCCAGAAATAAACCTATTGATTTTTTAGATATATATTCTTGTTGATTTCAGAGAGGAAGGGAGTGGGAGAGAGAGATAGAAACACCAATGATGAGAGAAAATCATTGACTGGCTGCATCCTGCACACCCCCACTAGAGATCAAGCCTGCAACCTAGGCATATGTTCTGACTGGCAATTGAACCATGACCTCCTGGTTCATAGGTTGATCCTCAACCAATGAGCCATGCCGGCTGGACGTCAATCAATTTTTTATTGTTGACACTATTACAGATGTCTCCCGTTTCCCCCCTTTGCCTATCTCTACCCAGCCCCTTGCAATTCCATATGAATATTAGGATTCCCTTTTTCATTTCTATAAATTAATTGATTGGGATTTTGATAGAGATTGTATTCAATCTGTAGATCAATTTGTGGACACTTGCCATTTTAACAATACTAGTATTAAGTCTTCCAATCCAAGTAATGGACTTAATAAACTTGGACTGTACACGTATAGGCAGGGGTAACGACTCAGAGGGAGTAAAAAACAGCCTAAAATTCAGGACTGTCTGCTTAGGGTGAGACTGGGAGAAATGAATCTCATCCAACCATTTTCAGTCCTCTTACTTTTCCCCCAAAGTAAGTAGGACTGTTAGAAAATCAAATAGCTGCTCTGCAAACAAAAGTAAATGTATTACACTTTTTGAGGAAATTGATTACATTTTGATTGATTAGAATCTGTTGCTGTTTCCAATGAATTTTGATCATATTTACCAATTAGTAGTTAGCATGGGACTGAGTTTCTTCTGTGCAGGTCAATGGTGGAAAATACTGGTATGTATTCAGTTTGTAACCATTCCCATAATATATAATCTATATCAATAAGCCGTATGTCATTATTACTATATTTTAAAATGAGAAACAAAATTTCTCCAGTTTGCGTAGTCTCAGGTTTTTTGATGTGCTGCTCTACATCCTGCTCTTTCTTTTATACTCAAAGACTTGTTTAAATCAAGTATTCTGAGGATGATAGTTCCTAAAAATAGATAAAGTGGCTGGATGAAATCCAGCAAAAGCATGCAATTAGATGAGGGTGGGAAATGAGGAAGTCATTGGAGAGTGGTTGGAGTTGTCCTATTGCTATCTCATAAAGCCTCATGCCTTGCAACTAATGCAGCTGAATTAAAATAATTCAGCTGCATTAGTTGGATAGGTTAGAAAAGATGGTTTCTTGAGGTGATGAAATGAGAATCAGTTTCTCCTTGGGGTTTTTTCTTGCCCACCTGTTGACACTGTGCAAAGCTATGGTGATCCCCATAGGGTAGACCTTCCCTAAAGACATACTTGTTTTCAGAAAATTTTTTTTTTGCCTCAGTGAGATCTAGGTACAAGGAAGGAGGAGCAGACTCCTGAGCTACAATCCATGTTTATAAACAAAGATAGAAGGGCTCAGCCCATTCTAATCAATATTTCATCCGAACTCAATTGGAGGCTTCTGGGGTTGCTAGAGTCTCCGAGTGCATACATGTAAGCAAGGCTGCCTCAATGGGATGAGTTGTCCTAAGAGGGCTTTTTAAAAAATATATTTTATTGAGTTTTTACAGAGAGGAAGGGAGAGGGATAGAGAGTTAGGAACATTGATGAGAGAGAAACGTCAATCAGCTGCCCCCTGCCACCCCCTACTGGGGATGTGCCCACAACCAAGGTACATGCCCATGACCGGAATCGAACCTGGGACCCCTCAGTCCGCAGGCCGATGCTCTATCCACTGAGCCAAACCAGTCAGTACTTAAGAGGGCTTTTATGGAAAATTACACAAAGGCAATCTCTAATTTTGTGAGAATGTAGCTAGGAGTTCTACTCAGACTTTCTAACTTGAGTGTATGATGTTGGATACAGAGAAAAGGTGAGGATAA